TTTCATAAATAATTAATATTTATAGGTGTTGGTAAGTAAATAAATCTAAAAATTATTTTTAAAATTTTATTTGATTTTAAATTTTTATAATTTTTCATTAATTAATTAATTTTACGTAATCTTTTTTTATTTTTTGAACAAATTTTTAATGATATATATAAAATTATTAATAAAAATATAAATATAATAATAATAATTTCATAATGATTTTTATAAATATTTTTTAATTCAATAATTAAAATTAATTCATTATTAAATTCATATTTAAAATAATATTTAATTAAATAATTTTTATATAAATTATAATTTATGTAAATTATAATAAATAAATAAAATAAAATTAATAAATTTAATAATAAATTAAATTTATTAATTTTTAATTTTAAAAAATTAATTAAAGTAATAAAATAAGAAAAAATAACTATAATTCCAGAAATATAAATAATGAAAGATATAAGTATTTTTAAAATTATTGAATAATTTGAATTAAAATTAAAAATTGAAAAAAATAAAATGAACGTATATAATAAAAAATAAAGTATATATTTTATTGGTGTATTAAATATTATAATATCAAAAATTAAATTTAAAATTAAATATAATATAATTAATGAAATTGTATTTATTATATAAATTAAATTTATAAAATTAATATTAATTAAATTAAAATTTAAATTACAAAAAATAGTTTAATTAAAACAATAGCTTTGGATGCTATAAAAATTTATATGTATATATATAAATTTTTTTGAATTTAATTAAATTTTAATTTTAGCTTTAATTAAAAATTTTAATAAATTTAATTTACAAAATTAATGTTTTGTATTTAAACTATAAAGCTTTTAAATTTAATTATTTTATTTTAGAAATAATTATTATTATTATGTTATGTAAATTTATTTTTTTATTTAATTATAATAATTATTTTTTGAATTTTTTAATTTTAATTGAATTTATTTCAATAACAATTTTAATAAATTTAATTATAATAAATAATAATAGATGAATTTTTTTAGTATATTTAATTTATTCAGTTGGGGAAGCTATTTTAGGTTTATCATTAATAATTAGAATAAATTATTTATATGGTCATCAAAAAATTTATTTATATAGTTTGATTAATTAAATGTTAAGAGAATTAATAATTTTATTTTTAATAATTATTTTTTTTAAATTTATTAATTCATATTTAATTTCAAATTTATTATTTTTATTAACTTTTATATTTTTATTTAAAATTAATTGATTAGATTGAAGATTAATTTTAATAAATTTAAGTATAAGATATTATTCTTTTAGTTTATATATTTTAACTTTATGAATTTTTGCTTTAATTTTTATAAATTTAAATAATAAAAATAATAAAAAATTTTATTTATTTTTAATTTTTACTATAATATTATTCATATTAATATTATTTATTTCAATAAATTTTTTATTATTTTATTTAATATTTGAAATTAGTTTATTATTAATTTTTATATTAATTATAAATTGAGGTTATTCAATAAATCGAATTTTAGCTAGTTTTTATTTAATATTTTATACAATAATTTTTTCTTTACCTTTATTAATAATTATTATATATTTATTAATAATATATAATAATTTAAATTTTAAATTAATAGAATTAAATGAATATAATAATAATAATATTTCAATATTTTTATTTATTTATATATTATTTTCTTTTTTAGTTAAAATTCCTTTATATTTTATACATTCATGATTATTAAAAGCTCATGTTGAAGCTACTTATTATATATCAATAATTTTAGCTTCAATTATATTAAAATTAGGATGTTATGGATTATTACGATTAATATTTATTTTCTTTTATTATTACGGTTAATATTTATTTTTAAAAATTATGTTTTAAAAATTAAATATTATATTTTAATTATTAGATGTATATGAACATTAATTTTAAGTTTATTACGTTTACGTCAATTAGATATAAAAATAATTGTAGCTATATCATCTATTATTCACATAAATGTAATATTAATAAGATTAATAACTTTTACAAAGTTAGGAATTAGTGGGAGTCATTTAATAATAATTGGTCATGGTTTAACTTCATCAGGTATACTTTATTTAATTGAAATAATTTATAAACAAACTAACAGACGTTTATTAATAATAAATAAAGGATTAATTAATCTTTAAATATTATATTTTAACAATTAGATTTACAGGAATAACAATTTTAAGTTTATTATGTTTATATCAATTGGATATAAAAATAATTGTAGCTATATCATCTATTATTCATTTAAATGTAATATTAATAAGAATAATAACTTTTACAAAATTAGGAATTAATAGTGGTTATTTAATAATAATCGGTCATGGTTTAACTTCATCAGGTTTATTTTATTTAATTGAAACAATTTATAAACAAACTAATAGTCGTTTATTAATAATAAATAAAGGATTAATTAATGTATCACCTGAAATAACTATAATATGATTTATACTTTGTTCATCAAATGTATCAGCTCCATTTTCTTTAAATTTAGTTAGAGAATTAATATCATTAATAAGATTAATATCTCAATATGATTTTTTATTATGATTTATATATATATATTATTTTATAAGATTTATTTATACAATTTATTTATTTAGATCTATTATTCATGGAGAATCATATTTTTTTTTTATAAAAAAAAATATAAATGGTAAAACAATTAATTATTTAACTGTACTTTTACATTGAATTCCTTTAAATATTTTAATATTTAATTTAGATATTATAATTTAAATTTAAATAGTTTAATAAAAATATTGATTTGTGATATCAATGATATAAATAAAATTATTTTAAATTATTTTACAATTATTAAATTCTGGAATTATATTATTAATTTTTAGCTTTTTTTTTATAATTTCTTTTTTAAATATATTTATATATAATTATACTTATATTTTTATATTTACACTTTATACAGTTAATTCTGTGAGATGAGATGTTGTTATAATTTATGATTTAAAAAGTTCAATTTTTATTTATTTAGTTACATTTATTATATCAATAATTTTTTTTTATAGAATAAGATATATAAATTTAAATAAAAAATATATAATTAAACGATTTCATAATTTAATAATTTTATTTTTATTTTCCATATATTTTTTAATTATAGGATATAATATATTAACAATTTTTGTTGGTTGAGATGGATTAGGTTTAATTTCTTATTGTTTAATTATTTTTTATCAAAATAAAAATTCTTGTAATGCTGGAATATTTACAATTATTTTAAATCGTTTAGGAGATAGAGCTTTATTAGTTTTATCATCAATAATATTAATATTTGGAAGTTGAAATTTATTATTATTTGAAATAGATTCAACTATAATATTTTTAATTATTTTAATAATTTTAACTAAAAGAGCACAAATTCCTTTTTCTTCATGATTAACAAAAGCAATAATAGCTCCAACTCCAGTTTCAGCATTAGTTCATTCATCAACATTAGTTACAGCTGGAATTTATTTAATAATTCGTTATAATGAAATATTAGATTTAAATTTTAAAAATTCAATTTTATTTATTTCAAGAATAACTATATTAATTGCAGGTATTATTGCAAATTTTGAATTAGATATTAAAAAAATTATTGCTTATTCAACTTTAAGACAATTAGGATTTATAATTAGAATTTTATCTATAAATTTAGAAAATTTAGCTTTTATTCATTTATGTATTCATGCAATATTTAAATCATTAATATTTATATGTGTAGGAAGATATATTCATTATTTACATAATAATCAAAATATTAAATTTTATACAGGAATATTTTATATTTATCCAATAAAAAGAATTATTTTTATTTTTTCATTAATAAGATTAATAGGTTTTCCATTTTTAGTTGGATTTTATTCTAAAGATTTAATAATTGAATATTTTTTAATTTCTAATAAAATAAATTTGTTAAGAAATTTTAATTTAATTATTGGAACAATTTTAACTATTTCTTATTCATTTCGTATTATTATAACTTTATTAAATAAAAATTTATATTTCAATTTAATTTATAAATATGAGGATAAATTTATGAATTTTAGTATAATATTTTTAATAATTATAAATATTTTTATAAGTAAAATATTATTTAATATAATACTTTTATTAGAAAATATAATTTTAAATAATTTAATAAAAATATTAATTTTTAAAATATTTTTATTAGGTTATTTTTTAAATTATTATTTATTAAATAATTTTATTTTTAAAACAAAATTATCAATTTTTATTTTAAGATTTATAAATTTAAATTTAATTTACAATAATATTTATATTAAACCTTTAATTATTATTAATTTTTATGAATTAATAACTGAAAAAACTTTAATTGAAATAATTTCAAGAAAATTTATAAAATTATTTATTAATTTAAATTTAAATAAAAAAATTAACTTAAAAAATTTATTTAATTATTATATTATAATTATTTTAATAATAATTATTATTATTAAAATAATTTAATTTATTTATAATTTTATAATAAATATTTTTATATTGAAAATATAATATTTTAAATTTTAAATTATATAAATATTTAATTGGAATCTATTAATTCAATAAATTTATTAACAATAAATTACCTCTTTTTGGTTTCAATTAAAATAAATTTAAATAGCTTATAATTTAGAGTATAATACTGAAAATATTAAGGAAAATATTATATTTTTTAAATAAAGAAATAATAATATTTTTAAATATTAATTTATAAAGTTAGAAGCTTTATCTAATTTATTTCTTATATAAGATTTATTTATAATCATATTTTTAAGTCGAAATTAAAATGTAAATTTTTACTTTTATATAATTTTATATATTTATATATATATATATATATATATATATATATATATATATATATATATATATATATTAAAATATTATTTAAATTTTTTAATTGGAAATTAATTGTAATTTTTATACTATATATATATATATATATAAAATTAATGATTTTATTTTATAAAAATTAAATTAATCAATTAAAATAATTATTTATTCATTCAATAAATAAAATTATAAATAATAAAAATAAAATTAATAAAATTAATAAATTAATATTTAATATTAAATTGTTTAAATCTAAAATAATAGGTATTAATAATACAATTTCAACATCAAAAATTAAAAATATCAAAGATATTAAATAAAAAGGTAATGAAAAAGGTAAAATAGATTTTGAAATTATATTAAATCCACATTCAAAAGGTAAATTTTTTTCTATTTTTTTTTTAAAAATTATTGTAAAAAATAAATTTAATAATATTAAAAATAAAGAAATAAAAATTAATATTATATATATAAAAATAAAATTTAAAAAAATAAACATTTTTATAAATAAATTAATCAATATAAATCAATATATAAAAATAATCAAATTAAATCAACAAAATGTCAATATCAAATTGAAAATTCAAATAATAAATGATGAATTTTTGAAAATTGATTAAATATTAATCGTAATAATGAAATCAATAATAATAATAATCCAATTAATACATGAAATCCATGAAATCCTGTTAATAAAAAATATAATGATCCAAAAATTCTATCATTTATAGTAAAATAAGAATGAGAATATTCATAAAATTGAATAATTAAAAATATAATTCCTAATATAATTGTTAAAATTAAATAAATAACTGATTTAATTTTTTTATTATTTAATATATAATAATATCTAATAGATAATAAAAATCCTGAAAAAATTAAAATAATTGAATTAAACAAAGAAATTTCAATTGAACTAAATGTAAAAATTCCTTTTGGTGGTCAATTAATTCCAATTTCAATTGAAGGTGAAATATATATATGAAAATATGATCAAAAAAAAGAAATAAATAAAAATAATTCTGAAATAATAAATAAAATTATTCCAAATTTTAAAAAATTTATAATAAAATTAGTATGTATTCCTTGATAAATTCTTTCACGTATAATATCTCGTATTCATAAAATTATTAATATAATTAAATTAAATATATTAAAAATTAAATTATAAATATTATTAATATATATATAATAAATAAAATTAATTATAAAATTTATTAATCTTAAAGATATTATTAAAGGTCAAGGTCTAATTGTTACTAAATGAAATGGAAAATTTTTTAAATTTTTCATTTTATTTTATTAATTATATTCTGAATAATATAAAATTATTAATATAGAAAATACATAAGCTTGAATAAATGTTATAAAAATTTCTAAAATTATTAAAATATTTTGAATGAAAAAAGAAATAATAAATAATTCTAAAAAATTTATTATAAAAATTCTTAATAATATTAAAATTAAATGACCAGAAATTAAATTTGCACATAATCGAATTGATAATGTTATTGGTCGAATTAAATTTCTAATTAATTCAATAATTACTATAAAATTTATTAAATAATAAGGTGAATTTAAAGGAACTAAATGAATAAAAAATTTATTATAATTATTTATTAAAATATAAATAATTAAAGTAAATCATAAAGTTAAAGATATTGATAAATTAAAAATTAAATGTCTAGTAGATGTAAAAATATAAGGAATTAATCTTAAAAAATTCAATAAAAAAATATAAATTAATAAATTTAAAAAAATAATAATATTTGAATTTAATTTATAAATTATTTTAAATTCTTTAAATATATAATTTAAAAATTTCAATCAAAATATATTATAAATACTTATGATTAATCAATATATTTTTGGACATAAAATAATAGGTAAAAATATAAAATATCAATTTGATAAATAATTTAAATTAATTGTTGGATCAAATATTTCAAATAAATTTAAAAAATTATTTTTCATTTTTTTTTTATTATTATAATTTTATTATAAGTTAATTTAACTAATATATAATTTAAATTAATTAATATAAAAAATAAAATTAATAAACATATAAAAAAAATTATTATTCATTTAATAGGTATTATTTGTGGAATTAATTTTTCATTAAAAGTAATTTTAATATACTATATTTGATTTAAAAAATCAATTCTTTAAATCTTAAGACATTTAATGAAAAATTATAAAAATAATATATTTATTATATTAACTTTAAATTGACAATTTAATGTTAAAATTTAACTAATTTTTAATTTAAATTTTATTATTAATTCAATTAATAAAATATTTTATTGATGTTCTTTCTAAAGTAATAGGTATAAAACTATGATTTATTCCACAAATTTCTGAACATTGACCAAAATATAATCCAGGACGTAAACAAAATAAATTAAATTGATTTATACGACCAGGAATTGCATCAATTTTAATTCCTAAAGAAGGAATAGCCCAAGAGTGAATTACATCAGTTGATGTAACTAATAAACGTAAAGGTAATTTTATTGGAATTACTATACGATTATCTGTATCTAATAAACGAAATTGATTAATTATTGAATAAGATATTATATAAGAATCAAATTCAATATTATTAAATTCTGGATATTCATATGATCAATATCATTGATGACCAATTGATTTAATTGAAAAATAAGGATTTAATAATTCATCAATATAATATAAAATTTTTAAAGATGGTAAACAAATAAATAATAAAATAATTATTGGAATAATTGTTCAAATTATTTCAATTAAATGATTTTTTAATAAATATAAATTAATATATTTATTATTTAAAATATCAATAATTAAATAAATCGTAAAAAAAATAATTATTATTATAAATATTATAATAAAATTATGTAAATAAATTAAATTATCTGAATAAAAAGAATTTGAATCTTGAAAAAAAAATATATTTCATGTTGAAATTTTTAATAATAGAATAAAATTCTATATTATTGAATTTTAAATTCATTACACTTATCTGTCATATTAAAATATTTTATTGAAAATTAAAATTCCACATTCATTAAATGAATGATTTAAAGGTGGATATATTATTAATCATTCTAATGATGAATGACTATATTTAAATAATAATAATCGTTTTGAAATAAAACTTTCAAAAATTAAAAATAATAATAAAATTAATCTATTTAAAGAAATAATTGAACCAATTGAAGACAATAAATTTCAACAATAATATGAATCTGGATAATCAGAATATCGTCGTGGTATTCCTATTAAACCTAAAAAATGTTGTGGAAAAAAAGTTAAATTAACACCAAAAAATATTATTAAAAATTGAAAATTCAATCATTTTTTATTTATTAATAAACCAGTAATTAATGGAAATCAATGAATAAATCTAGAAATAATTGAAAATACAGCTCCTATTGATAATACATAATGAAAATGAGCAACAACATAATAAGTATCATGTAAAATAACATCAATTGATGAATTTGATAATATAATTCCTGTCAAACCTCCAATTGTAAATAATAAAATAAATCCTAATGATCATATAATTGAATTATTAATTTTTATTTTTGAACCATAATAAGTTGCTAGTCATCTAAAAACTTTAATTCCTGTTGGTACAGCAATAATTATTGTAGCAGAAGTAAAATAAGCTCGTGTATCAACATCTAAACCAATTGTAAATATATGATGAGCTCAAACAATAAAACCTAAAAATCCAATTCCTAATATTGCATAAATTATTCCTAAATTACCAAAAATTTCCTTTTTACCACTTTCATTTATAATAATATGAGAAATTAATCCAAATCCAGGTAAAATTAAAATATAAACTTCTGGATGACCAAAAAATCAAAATAAATGTTGATATAAAATAGGATCTCCACCACCTAATGGATCAAAAAAAGAAGTATTAAAATTTCGATCAAATAATAATATAGTAATAGCTCCAGCTAAAACTGGTAAAGATAATAATAATAAAATTATTGTAATAAATACTGATCAAGAAAATAAAGGTAATTTATCTAAATTTAAACAAAAATTTTTTATTAATATAATTGTAGTTATTAAATTTATTG